GTTGAGGTAACGACAGGGGCCAACGAGGGGAAGAAAGTGGTCAGTAATCTCAGGCCGTACTCCCATTATACCCTGGCTGCCACTGTATTCAACGGCAAGGGAGAGGGACCTGCCTCTGAGATGATTTCCTTCAAGACTCCTGAGGGAGGTGAGAATGGGAAAGCGAGGGAAAAAGAGGGATGGGCAATAAGGATGAAATGGGGAGGGGAGTGTGCTAGATAAAGTGGGTGAGGAGGTTTAATTACAGATGGGGAGAGACAAAGATGGGAGGATGGAAGAGAGGGTAGTGGATTACAACAAGGGAAATGACACTAATTTCCAGCTGCATTGAACAGAAGGATGATGAAACTGATGTGGGAGCAGATATTACTGAACAGGCTCAGCTTTGGGGGAAACAGTATCAGAATAATATAATAATACCCTATAAGTCAAGTGCATTTTAATCAGGGCCTGTTTGTGCTGCTTCCAGTTCCTGGTCCTCCCGTGTCCCTGATGCTGGACAGCCCATCAGAGACAGAAATGACCCTTCACTGGACACCTCCTGAACAACCCAATGGAATCCTCATTGGATATCTCCTGCAGTACCAACAGAGTGAGCATCATTTGCATGCAGTCATTTTCCATCTAGTGCATTTATAGTAAATTCTTTTATTTGATTCTCTGCAGCATCAGTAAAAAAAAGCAGTGTGAATGACACCACACTATACATTTCTAACTAAATCAGTAACACCAGAAAACTGTGAAAGCGTAGCCCTCTAATGATGCTCCTCAGTGAGTCAATCGTCACCCGTAACTACGTGCTGGTGATCAGGTAGTGATTGAATGGTTTTTTGGCTGTGCTGTGGTCAGTCGTGGAGAGTGATGACAGCCCCATGCAGGTAGAGACAATAGATGATCCCGCAGTCACCCACCTCACTCTGAGGAGCCTGGACCATCACAGCCACTACCGCTTCTACCTGAGGGGGCGCACTGCTGCTGGGGATGGAGAGCCTATCATGAGGGAGGGTGCCACCATGCTGGATGGAGGTACAAAGCTGTTTTATGATGCTCTTTGTGGTCACAAATATGACACATACAGGACCACATTGCATTAGATCATAAATATGATTCGTCTGTCTGAATGCATTTCAGTGCCTCCTGCCAACTTCAGCCTGTCTGCCGGGGAAAATTCAGTTAACCTCAGCTGGGTGGCCAAAAAGAGACACAGGAATGTTAGCTTCCAGATTCACTACTTCAACAAGAACGGTATAACTAAAATCTAATTGCACTCCACCTCATGGGAATAGTTTCACAATCCTGAACAACAGAAAAGAAATAAGTTCACACTGTGTTTCTGCAGATGGCAGTAAAGGTATATATTTGCACTATTTTAGCACTGTTAAATAAAATCACTACTTGCACCGAAGCCAGCCGCCTGGGTCTGCTGATTTCACCGCTCGCTCACATTTGTGTCGAGTGAACCTAACAAGATTCTGCTCTTCCTTTTATCTTGTTTCTCCTGCTTTTTCCAGCCTTTTCCTTCCTCTTGTACTTTCACCCTGTTCACTGGTTTAAAACATGTACTCTCTCCTCTCCATTTCCCTCTCCCTTTTTCTTTGAAGGAGTGACAGAGGTGCAGTCAAGCTTTGCAACAAAGGGTTGGTTCATTGGGGTTGTAAGTGCCATTGTGCTGCTGCTGTTGATACTGCTCATCCTCTGTTTCATCAAGAGGAGTAAAGAGGGGAAATATTCAGGCAAGTGCAGATGGTGAACTGTTATAATCCGTTAGTGTTGATGATTCCATGATGATTGAGGCCTTGAGAAATTTTTTTTTTTTTTAGAATCAAATACCTTTGTACCTGTGTGTAAGAGGAACACAATGTTGGACAACTGCTGTGACACACTACACAAGCTTTGTGTGTAAAACTGGGCAGCCTGGAGCCATAAAGCTGTCTGATAAAGAAAATGACACTGCGGCAGAAAAAAGAAGCTGAGCACTTACAGGGAAGCACCACAGTAAACATGATTATTCTTCCTGGGAAAGAGGACAGTAAAATAAGATTGCACCATGTGTAAAAGCACTCTCCTAACATCACTCTATAATCCTTCTAGTGGTTCAAATTCAAAGTAATTGGCTGGTTTCACTTGGCCAACTTTCTCCTGAGCAGCCTGCACATCAAACAAGTAGTGAAACAGACCTCTAAGCTTGTACCGCTTTACTTTGATAGTAAGGAAGACATTCTGCCCTGAGAAGAACGGTAAAATAATCATCACAGACCAAAGTAACAGCAGCCTGCAGGCTACTGTGTGACTGGTCAGAGGAAAACACCAGCCTTTCTTCCCTTTCCACACAAGGAAGAAACTGTCTGTGCTAAATGCAAGGACTAATTGAACAATAAATTCAACCACTGGCATCATACTCCTGAACATGATAATTTTTTGTAATTTTAGTAGTTTTGTTCATACTGGTAGTTACACTGAAAATCTGACAAATTAAGTCAAAAGTCAAACCTGAAATGACAGAATATATCAATTTTGTCTATAGATAATGAGACTATTGTTGTTTTTGTATAAACTTGGTGCTATCTTGCTGCCTGACAGATACCATTATTAATGTCTGAGACAGCAGCTTAGACAGGTGCATGGCTGAGATCTTAGGGATAATGAAATCCAATAATCTCTCTGCTCAGTGAAAGATAAAGAAGAAGGTCCAATGGACTCAGAAGCGTGGCCTATGAAGGATGAGACTTTTGGAGAGTACAGGTTTGTTGTCTGAATGGATATCGTTTTGTTACGTCTTATGTTATGTTCCTACATATCATTTCAATTCAAACTCCTAATACAGCCCTGATGCCCTTGGCACTGTTAGTTTTTCCTAACCCTATGTGTTCCTTTCATTGTCCCTCTTCTCCCCAATGCCTGCCACTGCTATGCAGATCTCTAGAAAGGTATGCTGTGGTGTGACTTGCTATCCCAAACCCACTTCTTTATTATTCCCTTCCAGTGCCTTACTTATCTACTATTTTCCCTGTAATTTATATAATCCTAGTATAATGTATTATGCAGGGCTGTAACTAATGTTTTTTTCAGTATCAACTGCTGATTTCTTGTGATTGATCTATTAGTCATGTTGTCTATAAAATATAAATCAGTGAAAAACAGTCATCAAAGTATCCTAAACCCATTAATATTTTTGCTATATTATTATATTATTTGCTCTAATGCAAAACCAAGAAACATTTTAGAACTTTTTTAAGCTTTTTGTAATTTGACACTTATCAAAATGTTAATGTACAAACTATTGACTAATTATTTAATTGACTAATCACGTAAGCTTGCATGTTAGAAAACAGTAGGCTGTTTTTTTAAAGAAGAAACTAACTCAATAAAGTTGTATTTAAGTTTTTACATGCCATATAATATTAGTTTTTGTTTTGTGCTCTGACCTACATAGTGACCTTGAGGAGAAGCGCACGGCCAGTCAGCCGTCTCTGTGTGAGGAGAGCAAGTTGTGCAGTGAGGACAACCTGGACTTCAATGGCAGCAGTGCCATAACTACAGAGTTCAACTTGGATGAGTCTCTGGTCAGCCAGTTCAGTCGGCCCAGTGAGGGTCCAGAGGTGCTCCATGCTTTGCCGGATAACTCCCTGCTTAACTCCAGCACCGTCTCTCCGGCCACCAATGGCACGCCCAACTCAGTCGCCGTCCTCAATTAACCCCCACACATCCACCGAGGACCATCAGACCAAAACATGACGCCACATATGTGCCCATACGCTCCTGTTCCCTACTGACTTGCTGATCTGTAGACTGATGACTAGTACACAATCAATATATTGACTTTTCAGATGCCCCCGGCAGTTATCTGATTGACTGGACTATTCTGACCAAAGGAGTGTCCAAACTAGTGGACAAACTGATAACGAGTCTGACTGACATGAAGATGTCCTTCGATCCCTTCACCTTCCTTTATTGTATCTGTGTCATTTGCAACAAATCTAAACAACTAACATTCACTTTTCTTCCTTTCTTTTCTCTCTCTTTCTCTCAGCAAACAACTGTATAGAAAGATAAAGACAGAATGTTGTACAGGTTAGAACTATCAGGATTGTAGGTGTGGTCCTGTTGCCAAGCAGAGTAGTACAGTGAAAGAGGAGGCAGATGGTAGAGCCTAGTGTGGTGAACCACACAGCACATGCCACTGTAACAAGTCTTGAAACTTATATATTTATCATGTCATATTATTTCACATAATTTTGTATGTCTAATGCCATTTGATATCTCAGACTGTATTTGCCAGCAACATGTAAGACGTTTTTTTTTTTACAAATGTTTTTGAAAATGAAAACATGCTTTTTTGTTATTTGCCATAAAAACTCATGACATCTCTTTACTCACATATTTCATAGATCAAGATGTTTTCATTGAAACCAAGTGAAGCCAAGTTTCTTGTGACACATAACATTGGATGCATTTATGAGAACTTTCTGTGAAAATGCTGAGTAGCATCTGGTGTATATAGCTGCATCAACATCTACCTATTTAGCCATAATACAGTATTATAGATATGTACATGCTTTTTCTAATTTTCTGTGCCTGCTGAATCTGCATAGAGCACCAGATTGATGTCATTACTCTCTTGCCTTCCCACCAGAAGTGTAATGTCATTATTAGAAAAGATATTGTAATTTTTGTGTCGAGACCTATGTGTCGCTTTCTGTATATGTCTTTGTTTCTTTGTTATTAAAAACATTGTCATCTCTAATTAACAAACTTTTCATACCTGTCCATCTCATACTACGCAAATTGTTTGAGGAGCAGTATTTACTTATACTTGCAGATTAAAGAGTGGAGTCTTGTGGGCAAGCACTCAATCAAGCTTTATTTTCAGACCTTCATCAATGGAAGTTGGAAGCGTAATGATTGCCAATTGATGTATAATAAAGACAAACAGTTGGTATTTACATCAAACAGAGACAATGCCTTCTTTTTAGGGCTGGGTAGACACTGTATTTACATGGTACTGAATAAAAAAAAAACCTAAGCTAAGTTAAGTGTGGTTATGACCTGGAAGGACAGTTTTCTAATGTAAATGTAACCCGTAAAAACTGTTTTGATGAACCCACCCATGTTTGATATGAAATGTGAAAAATGTGCAGGTTTAAAACCACTTAATGTTAAAATGTTGCAAATTGTAAAATTTCTTCTTTGTACTATTGTTATGAATTCTAATTTTACAGTTTTGACAGTTATCTGCAGTGAGATTTGGCAGTTTTAGCAAAAAAAAAAAAAAAAAAGCTCATAGATGAGAAAAGAAAAAATAATAAAAATGACCAAAAAAATCCATTGTGCTGTAGATGTTTGCAAACATTTTGAAAATCAAAAAAACAAAAAGTATATTCATGTCATTTAGTGATAGTAGTAGCTACATTACAATAAAAGCTAAGATTGCATTCTTGCGCATAACCATCAACTGCAGTGCAGTGAATATCTGTGGAGTTTTCTGATGCAGGTATGAGTGACAGGGACACAACAAACCAGACTGTGCATGTCACATGGAGTGTCTACATGTATATGCAATGCTACTGCCTCAGATCTCCCTACTCAAATAAAAGCTTGACACTGACCAAATATCACCTGACAGACCCTGAGGTAAAGAATATGGGATGTCTAAAAAGGCTAGTGGAACTGAAATATGCGTGCATGGGCTCCCAGCTGTTGATTATACAGACATACTCAGGACAAATAAAACATTTTAAAAAATCTATTTTCATACAGGACTGATGAATGACTCAAAATGTGACAATATTTTAACTCAACTATCTGCTGCTAAACATCTGTGTTTGTCAGTGTTCAGGGCAAATGTTAGCTTTGAATGAGGAACGGGTGTGCACACAGATACTCACTCGACTGCGATTCATGTTTTGCTTTTCATGTGTGAGGGTAAAGCTTGGGACACTGGCTTTTGCTTTTCCACTGTTGTCCTGCAACTCTTTTTATAGTAAAAAGGATAGAAACCTATTAAATAGTGACTTGGTTTGTTTAGCTTCTTCAGAACTCAGAAAAATAGTTTGCCTGGGGGGTGGGGGGTGAGAAAGGATAGATAGGTAGTGTGTGTCAATGCTGAGGTGTAGATGTGCCTCTTTGTGTGCAGGGTGTTCTAGTAGTACGATGGGACTGATGTGTATCTTGGGTGAACGACAGGAGTTGGGTGGACTTGTACCACATATGGGCCAATATAACTGTAACTGCATTATGAATCTACCACTGTAACTGGATATATGACTGAAAAATAAAGTACGTGGAGCAAAGTGTACCAATAAAGGATCCCTTTTTTGTCATCAGTATCAGCCAATAAAATCAATGCATATGTGGAACTTAAGATGAAGCAGCAAGTACTGATTAATCAGGATTCACTTCACATTGAGTGTGAGAATAACAATCGATACGTTTTATTAGCACATTGTCACAAGAGAACAGTCCTGGTTAGCGGGAGCTAGTATTGAACTGACAGAAATACTCCTTGGTGGGTTTGTTGGTGTATAATTTCTTGTTCAGGTACTCCTGACTGGGGCAGACAGAGACACACACACACCCACACACACACACACACACACACACAAACACAGTGAGTAATTGTCTCCAAAAATGCTTATTTAAATCTGAATTCCACAGTACATCACGGTATAAAAACAGTGTGTGTATATGTGTGCAGGACTCACTATGCCTGCTGCTCTCTGGCCAGCTGCATGTTGTACTGGTCCATCTGCATCCTCTTCTCTCTCCTAAGCTCTTCGGCTCTCATCTCCTTCTCCTCTGCTTCTCTGGACAGCTTCAGGAGTTGGAGGCTCCAGGCTGCATCCTGAATCTTTTCAGCATCGCGTTGTCTCTGAAGTTGGCAAGAAATAAGTGGCTAAATGCTAAACCAGAGTTGAACTGTTAAGTGGGGTACCAGGTAAAAAAAAATAAAAAAATCTGGAGCTATAACTATAAAGAAATGGTTTCTAATATGTGGGTTAGGACCTAACCAAAAGGCTGCAGGGCTCCAACACTGTTAATAGGATTTCTAGTACAATGAATGAGCTTTTTTAAGATGTATTCTTCAGACTTTTTTTGAAGCAATGGACAATTTGATCAGCAAAAACATCTGAGGAATATTAAAAAGTAGATGTTATAAATAAGACAATCTGACAAGGAATAATCCCCCTAAGGTTAAACTGGCCACGGTCTTCAACATGAAACATGTGCAGAGAAGCCACAAGTACACACATACTGTATGACAAATAAGAGGAAAACCTAATAAAATAATGGAGAAACATAATAAATTCAGCTCCATACTAGATACATGGGGTCACTGAATGGTTTGATGAATATGAAAATTATGTGAATGTGTTATTTGAATCTGTTATGGCTTTTGAAATCACCAGATCTCAACTCATTTGAAAGCTAATGGGACACTCTGGCCCAGCATGTTAGACAGCATTCATCACCAAACGACCAGATGAGGGAAACTCTTTTAGAAGAATGCTGTATGTAATTCTCCCTCTAGTAGGTTCAAAAGTTGGAGTAGTGTTAGAGAATCTTTGCCAAGGTGCACTGCTACGGAGGCTTGTGGTGGTCCAAGAGCTAACTAAGACATTTTATGTTGACAAGTCCACAGTTTTGAAAGAATTATGCTGAAAGGTTCAACTGAAGAGGAGCTTGGAACAGAATAAGATGTGACCTGACCATAAAGTGCTTACGGTATATGAGTATGAGAGTTGCACTCCAGTACCTGTCTCTCAGAGCACTGTGCTTCTTGCTCCCTGTGGATAGCACTCAGCTGCTCAGGGCTCATCCCTTTCCACCTGTCTGTCAGAACCCGAGGTAGCCTTCCTCTTCCCAATGCTCTCTCTGCTGCCTCTGCACACTCTGTCATCATGTCGGATGTCAGTGTGTGCCACATCTCTGCAAGATTTTCCCTTTCCTCTCTCCTCTGCTGCTCCTTCAGTTTCTCTGCCTGCTCAGTAGCCTGTTAGGAACAGGTTGTGGTGAGGCTTCATCATCTGTCCAGGGACAGTTTCATTGATAATGTTCTTGATGATTATAAAACCAGGAGCTTAACAAAACCCAGCCTCTACTATACGATGACCTCAGCCATAGATGATGTGGTGAATGTCCTCCTGAGAGATCCACTCAGTCAGTTGTTTTTGCTTATGTGTCATGCATGTGAATGATTATTAGAGAAACCACATAATTGCCATAAGAAATACCATAACATGAAGGATTTATAATGATGCTTCCCAAAGGAGGATTCAGACAAATGAGGTGAGAGCTTTTTCAAACAGACAGGGCCTAAGCATACATCAAGCAGTTTAACCATCCATGTTGCTTGGTACCAACTAATATGATGGCTGCCTTCCTGCATCAAGTGTGTGCATGCATCACTTAATATTTTCAAGTAGCACTTTTAATTTCAAAATCCCACCTGAGAACACCACATCACAGTCCAAACCCCCACTGGATTTTGCTTTGAGCTTTCACATCTGTGCATCCGTCTGTGTGTGCGCACGCATGTACTGTACCAGAGCACGATTGTAGTTGTTGAGCGCGATGCGGGCGGCTTTCTTACACTCCTCTTCTAGTGCAGCTTGCTGCACCCCCCTTAGGTCCTGATGCACCAGCTTTCTGCTCTGGAGCATTTCTGTCACACACACACATGAAGTGGAAATCACCTGCTGTGTGTTTTTCACGCCTGCATTGGCCATCACCCATTGTACAAAGCTCTTAAGTGACACACTCACACATACATAACAACTCTCTGGGATGAACATTCATCAATGCCACCTGGCTAGAAAGGCTATGCGTAGGAGTGTGTGATTGTTTGTGCAGGACACAGTGAAGCATGTGTGTAATTTACAGAGGCTACAGCAGACAGTGTGTAAGCTCATCAGTGATTACAGTGTGCATGTGTGTTCCTGTGTGTGTGATTATGCTTGTCTCTTCACCTCTGTGCTTGTCTCTCATGTTCCTACTCTCATTGTCCTGTTTCTGTTCTCGCAGATCTCTTTCTGTCTTTTTCAGTTGTTCACTCCTGATTTGCTCCTTTGCCTCTCCCTGTACATGAAACAAGGACACAGTAGTTCAGGTGATTATTTATTTAACCATTCGCTGGCTTTTGTTCTGCTGCTCTTAATGGACACCAAGCACGTGCCTGCTATAGCAAACCTACCTGAAAGATTTGCATACTGGCAGGCCCCAGCTCACCCTCTGGAAGGGTGACCCTGACTGCCCCCTGCAGGCCACAGCTGAGATCAGCATCACGAGAGTCCTCCATGCGCTGATGAGTGGCCCAATACCGGGTTAGGTCAGTGTGCAAAGCTGCTCGCTTCTCTCTTTCATCAATGTCTTGCTGCAGCAGTATGTTATCATGATAGTTTCTCAGCTTATCTGCAATATATATAAAAAAATACACCTGTGGTAAAATGGAGAGGGCTTAAGACAGTATTTTTGGGTTGACCCAGTATTCCTACTCATGCCCCCAGGTGAATAATGCCTGTGATTCAGCTGATTTAACGCTTACCGAAAGCTTTGTCTTGTTGTATCTCCATGTTTTGCTGATGTTTTTTCTCCTGGACTTGTTGATTCAAAGCATCAAGGTCAAGACCCATCACACGGAGGCGGGTGTTGAAGATCCGAGCCTTGCGTGCTTCCTCTGCAGACCTTCGCCTCTCCACAGCCTTTGTTATGGACTGGTCTACAGGCAAATCCACTTTGTACATTTTCACTGTTTCTAGTCTGGAGTAAGGAAGCACGCCATTACATCACAGCATATAGCTACCAGTGGTGAAAGAAATACAAAATAAACAAAGCACATTCCTACAACAAGTAAAAGTTCTGAATTCAACAGCTTACATCAAATTACAAAGCACTGCCAGAAAAATGTGCTTCAGTTAGCTATCTAAAGTAATAAGTACTGTATACTCATTATGCAGAAAGACACTTATGGTATGGTGGGTTATTATTAATGATTTATGTGTATTTATGTGTGAGTAGCCTTTTACTGTTGTAGTTGGACAAGGTAGAGCAAAATTTAACTATTCTATATACTGCTGGGCACTTTAGTGTACAAAACTCATCTGTCTTATGAAGATAATTCTGAATATAATTTCAGCTATTAAACCTATTGTCAAAACAATATAAACAAGAAAAAACCATCAGTGCAGTAAGAACAGTGTAGTCAAAGAGATTTTACTTTTAAACAACTAGTTTTGTTGTGTAGCTTGACAGAAGACAAAATGAGCCAGGATGCTGGACAAAAATGAGGCTATAAAAATGTAACATTTTCCAAATAGGCTACTTAAAACTGCATATTTTATTGCACAGCAAGATTTATGTAACATTTTAACGACTCTGTTACAGACTAAAATGACTTGATTAGAAGATTTTGTGTGCTGAACAATGTTATTTTAGAAGAATACCCTATAGCTCTTTTTATATAACCTAAAAATTGTTACATTGTAAAGTAACTAGTAACTATAATTGTGAAATAAATAAAAAGTACAATAATTGCATTTAAATTGAGTGTAGCAGAAATATAAAGTAACAAAAAATGGAAAAAATTGAGATAGCTGAAGTAGACATACACATATCCCAAACAGTACTTAAATAAAATACTTGAGTAAATGTAATTAGTTACTTTCCTCCAAAATACACTTTATTAGTCCTATATCATATTAGGAATAGGATGACACAGTCATCTTAATAAGGACCTGACATCTCACCAATCCGGATAGGCTTCAATGACTGTATATGAACTGGAAGCAAGTTCTTCTGTTCAATTGTATTTTCTTTAAGGACAGGCAGCGATTACTGATCAAAAGCATAACTTACCTTTTACTTAGTAAGGCACGTGTACATGCGCGTCATCTAATTCTGTGACTTTAGAACCTCGTAAGTCCTTAACACTAGTGAATGAAATTGTTTCACTGCTCGAGTCCTGTTGTGTTTGGATGCTCTTGGTAACCATAGTAACACTTAACCACATTGTGCTATGTTAAAATTCATAGCAATCACTTATATCCCTGTACAAAACACGAAGGTCTCCTTAAATTGAGTTAATTTATAATGCTGCGCTAACTTTGATGCTTTAAGTGGGGCCGTAAGCACACAACAGCTGAATTCCAACCTTGTCACTGTCGTCTCGCGAGAAAATGTGAGATTGTGTATGTCGCGCGCTCGAGGGTTTTCCTTTTGGATTATAAAATGGCGCATTGTTGTCACAAGTGTTTCGTAGCTATTTGATTACGATTGTGAAGCAGTTGAGAATGTTAAGCTAAATATTGGCTTCATGATGTGACTTATGAATAGGACAGCAATAGATTGAACAGAGAGGTGCATTCATTAGCGTGCATGTTTTGTCTTTGAGCGAGCTTATTCGGTAAAAATTGTTTGTTAGCATTGTCTAGCTAACAGTTGACTAGCTAATATTCACTGTGCAGTCGTTTTCAGAACAGCGGCACAGATATAAAGAAGATGGGTTATTTAAAACTGATAGAGATAGAAAATTTCAAATCCTATAAAGGAAGGCAGATTATTGGACCTTTTCATAAATTCACTGCAATCATCGGACCCAATGGATCTGGTATGTTACATCGCGGCTAATGCACATTGCTTGCTAGCATTAACCCTAGTTAACCGCAAACAGTGCAATAACGCCCCGTTGTCTTCTTTCACATAAGTTATCACATCATAATGTACGCATACATTTTACGACAGAATGTGCCGAGATTAGCAGGAAAGCGTTTGAAAACTCGTATTACGTTATGTGTGATGCTGTCTCACGTTACCATTGTGCACTGTTGTTTATTTCAATATTTATGTCGTGCGTGACCTAACAACTTGTACAGTGTTGTATGTGAGCAGACCAATTAATTTATTGTGTACATATCAAACTTGGTTTTGTTTATGCAAACGTGCACTTTTGTTTATCGTCAATTTAAACACAGTATGGCCAACATTCTGTACAAAGGAGGGGGACATCTTGGATAGAAAGCTGCTTATTGCACATTTGAATGAAAAATCGCAACTAAGTGCTGCCTAAAATTATTTGCACACTTGATAGACAAATACTGAACTGAACTGTATAGAAAACTGCATATTGCAATAGTTATGGGGACACATGTACTCTGTGTATGTACTGTTTACATACTCATTTTGCACATGCACAATTACACACCCACTGCTGAGTATTTACACTCCATGGCTCCCACGTAGCATATATTCTCTCTGCATTATATTGTGTTCTTGTTGTATTTTTATTTGCTCCTTTCACTTGCTGCTTTAAAGTGCCTTAGATGTGTGATTTTACTGCCTATTTAGATTTGTGTTATTGCTCATCTACTTTATATTTCACTTGTATTATGTGGCATTTGTGTGGATGGTGAAGTAAGAAACATGTTTCCTAACTGTGCATATGACAAATAAACACTTTGACCTCGACAGTTGACTGCAGAACTGTTGTTGTGGTTTGCATCAAGTTGTGCAAGTGTACAAAATAAAAGGTTCGCTCAGTGTATATTAGCTTCCCTTATTAGATCTGTATACCATACTAAAATCTAAATGGTGTTGTAGGAAAATCCAACCTTATGGATGCCATCAGCTTTGTGTTGGCTGAGAAGACCAGTAACCTGCGTGTGAAAACACTGAAGGATCTAATCCATGGCGCACCTGTAGGGAAGCCAGCTGCCAATAGAGCCTTTGTCAGCATGGTCTACCAGGAGGATAACGGAGAGGATCGTGCCTTCACAAGGGTCATCATTGGTATGAATCACTTAAGTTATTTTTATCCCTGTGAACTGAAAATTATCAGCCTAAGATCTTTTGTTCCATCGCTTCTGTTAGAGATGTGCTAAACTGTTCATGTATGCATATTTGTAATTTTAAACCCTTCAGAGACATTGTCATACTTCTCCACACTGTGTGCACTTGCATTTAATTTGGATTCATCCTGCACACTAAAATCCACCAAGATTCAGTTGATATCTGTATCAGTCTTTTTTTTTTGTTTGGTATTACATTATCAATGCCGTTGTAGGCAAATGTCTTTCCTTGGACAAGTTTAATGAAACACCTTGTGGCCACCTTGGGTGTGCTGTTGATGAGCTGATGATTCTGGTGTTTTACCCCCATTAATGTGCCTGTGCATTAGGTTCTTCCTCAGAGTACCGCATCAACAACAAGGTGGTGGGCCTGCCTGAATACAGTGAAGAGCTGGAAAAACTTGGTATCCTGATCAAGGCTAGAAACTTCCTGGTCTTTCAGGTGAGACTGAAACCTCAAAAATGTTTCTGGGAGAAGTCTTAATTGGTGTAATATTATAATGCCCCTGTGCTTGCTGTTGTGTCCATCAGACCTGTTGCTCCTACATTAGCTGGCTCTCCTACAGCACCATGTTGGCTGCTGCTCTCCTCTCGTACAGTACATCTCTTTCTAATTAATCACACTGGTCAGACTGTTCAGCTTTCCTACGAGTGCTTTCTTGAGTTTTTAATGTTAATTCTGTTTTTCCTCATACCTCTGCAGAGGTTCAGACTGTCTTTGCACCTCATTAGGACAATCTAGGAAAATATTTTTCAGTATTGTGAATGAATTCTTTATTATACATAAGTACAATGAAATTACATGTGCCACATCCAATCAGTGCAAATATAAAAAACATAAACTGTCCATTCTCACGACCACCATGTCTACTTCCATACAGCACTAAATAGTTCGTAATAGATATATTAAAATACTGATACTGAGTGTAGCATCTCAAATTATTGCAGAAAGTTAGCAGCATTCCGAGTTCGGATTGCACAGGGATAAAAGCTGTTTTTAAGTCTGTTAGTCTTACTTTTTAGGCTTCTGTTTCTCCTCCCAAAGGACAAGAGGGCAAACAACTCATGCTCAGGGTGCGTATTGTCCTTCAGGATGTTCTTGGCTCTGCTAAGACATCTTGAGCTGGCAATGTCCTCCAGGGAAGGCAAGGGGCTTCCAATGATTCTCTCAGCAGTTCTTATAATCCTCGGGAGTGTCTATAGCAGAGCAACCAGCATTCTACACCGTGACACAATACGTCAAAATGCTCTCAATGGTGGAGCGGTAAAACGTCTCCAGCAGATTTTTCTGCAGGTTGGTCTTGTGGGAGCAACCTCAAAGAATGTAGTCTCTGCTGGGAATTTTTGACCACTGCTGTGGTAATATTCTGTCCAGGAGAGGTCCTGAGAAATAATGGTTCCCTGAAACTTGAAGGTTGAGACCCACTCCACCACGTCCCCATTAATAAAAAGTGGGGAAGGGTGTGTCCTCTTCCTCCTGAGGCCTATCACCATTTCCTTGGTTTTCCTTGTATTGAGGGACACACCACTTGGACAGTGCCTTCACTTCATCTCTGTACACAAACTCGTCTCCTCCGGTTATTAAGCCGACTACAGTGGTGTCATCTGCAAATTTGATGATGGTGTTGGAGGAGTAGATGGGGGTACAGTCATAAGTGTACAGAGAATAGAGAAGTGAGCTCAGCACACAGCCCCGTGGAGAGCCAGTGCCGAGCAGGATGGTGGAGGAGCAGTATGGGCTGATCTTCACATATTGTGGGTGATTTGTGATAAAGTCTGTAATCCAGGCACAGGTAGAACAGGGTAAGCCCAGGTGTAGCAGCTTGTCCACTGGTATACCTGGGATGATGGTGTTGAGCTCTGAACTGTAATCCACAAACAACATTTGAACATAGGTCACTGGCTTCTCCAGGTGGCACAGTGCGGTATAGAGGGCTGTGTTGATGGTGTCGTCTGTTGATCGGTTGGCTCTATACGCGAACTGATAAGGATCAAAGCTGGGAGGGAGGCAGGCTTTGAGGTGCTCTGCTATCAGTTTCTCAAAGCACTTCAATACAACAGAGGTCAGTGCTATGGGCCTGTAGTCACTGAGGCTACTGACAGCTGGCTTTTTGGGGACAGGGATAATTGTGGCAGACTTCAAGCATGTGGGGATGGAGGCTTGTGTCAGGGAATTGTTAAAAATCCACGTTGGCGTCCCTGACAACTGGTCTGCATAAGCCTTCAGTACTTTATCGAATACTCAATCTGGTCCAGCTGCTTTACTAGGGTTCACCATCCTTAACACTCGTCTTACTTAGTGTTGCTGTAAGGTGAGAGTGTGAGGCACTGTGGACAATGGAGGCAGTGTGATTGTTTGTGGAGTGGTGGTCTCAAACCAGGTGAAGAAACAGTTCAGTTCCTCTGCCAGCTCTGCACTAGCGTTTACAGGCCCATAGGGTCTGCCTTTGTAATTGGTAAGTTGCTGCACACCCTGTGCACACCTGCCGTGGTTTGTTCTGTGCCAGATTATGTTCTATTCTCCTCCTTAGCAGCCTTAATGCCCCTCCTCAGATCAGCCCTCACTGTACTATACTGGGCCTTGTCCCGCACCTCAGAGTTTAAAGAGTTTATTATTTATAACATTATCCACTTGTACAGTAGTTGATATGCATCTATGCCATGCTAACCTCAACAACGGCTGTATTCTAACATTAGCTTAGCTAGTCTCACTAACTTGCTAATAACTTAGAAGAGTTGGATCTCCTCAATTGACAGCATTGTGTTGAAACCACAGTCATGGAGAAAAGGAGCTGTTCATAGCTGGTCCATTGTCTGTGTGTGTGTGTGTGTGTGTGTGTGTGTGTGTGTGTGAGAGAGAGAGAAAGTGGGGCAGTGAGGCACTGAGGAAAACGATGCACTGTGTGCAGCTCTATGATGAATACAAGTTTTACCTATATAAAAAAAACAAGTGAGGGGAAATTAACTTCTACTTAATCGCAGATGGCATCATTCTCTTAGAAATGTAACAATAAAAATGGGTGGCTAAATATATTTGGGCGGCTGTTAATATACCTGGGCAGCCAGCCCAAGTAAAGTTTGTGTGTGCCAAACACTGAGTATAGCAGGAACAGTGTAGCCCTGGTAGTGGGCTAGTTCTGTTTTGTTTAATGCTAGTACTCTTTGTGATGGAAACAATTACTGTAGCCATTCATGTGCCTTCGCTGGGTGTCACAGCTTTGAATGCCTTACAGCAGAGGCCCAAAGTATGCATTTGCTACTGTTAGATTAAAGTAATATCTGATAACATGCTGTTGCCAGTTGCTGTTGTTAAAGTCACTTATGTTCCTACTTCTTTTTACCTTCAGGGAGCTGTGGAGTCTATTGCCATGAAGAACCCCAAAGAGCGTACAGCGCTGTTTGAGGAGATCTCCCGTTCTGGAGAGCTAGCCCAGGAATATGACCGCAGGAAGAAGGAGATGGTGAAAGCAGAAGAAGACACGCAATTCAATTACCATCGCAAGAAAAACATTGCTGCTGAACGCAAAGAAGCCAAGCAAGAGAAAGAGGAGGTTTGTCCTTTGTGTTAATTGCAAATACAGTATCTCTGGATTTAACATTTGGGGCCAAATTAGATTAGAAATGTAATGTAGTTTCTTTCCCCCTTGGTTTTAAAGTTTGTCCTTTAAGAAAAACACAGAAGTGCTTAGCTATTATTTGTTTGTGCATCTCATTAGTTACGGTATTTTATTACATAAATTTGTGGCATATTTTGTATTGTCTGTCTTGTGTTACTTGCCTGTTTTTAACTCTTATTGGTAAGGACCATTTTGAAAAAGAGACTTTTAGTGTCATTGGGGCTTCTTTGATCATCAGTAAAGGCCATCTTATACAAAACACTGTACACAATGTACTTCAACATACTGTGTGCGACACTCTCCTATCATCATTTTACCAGGCTGAGCGTTACCAGCGTCTGAAGGATGAAGTGGCCAGGGCCAGTGTTCAGTTGCAGCTCTTCAAACTGTACCACAATGAGACTGAAATTGAGAAGCTGAACAAAGAGCTTGGACAGCGGAACAAGGAGATTGAGAAAGATCGTAGAAAAATGGACCATGTCGAGGAAGAGCTGAAGGACAAGAAGAAGGAGCTGGGCAGGCTGATGAGGGAGCAACAGACCATAGAAAAAGAAATCAAGTAAGTGAAAGTGACATGACAGCCTTCTCTCAACTTGCGTTATGCGCATGTGGCAATTAAAACCTAGGGCTGTGTTAATCACTTAACCTTGCCCACAGAGAGAAAGACTCGGAGCTGAACCAAAAGAGGCCGCAGTACATCAAGGCTAAAGAGAACACTTCACACAAGATCAAGAAGCTTGAGGCAGCACGCAAATCTTTGCAAAATGCACAGAAGATGTACAAGAAACGCAAGGCAGACATGGATGAGTTGGATAAAGAGATGAGGGCAGTGGAGCTGGCAAAGCAAGAGTTTGAGGAGCGCATGGAGGAGGAGGCGCAGAGTCAAGGCCAGGACCTCACTCTGGAGGAAAATCAGGTCTGATAACTTAGTGTTGCTCATGTTTTAAGGGCTCCTTGTTTCATTTTGAATAAATGATCAGTTATAGGATTTTATTGGTTTGATAAAACTGAAATACTGGTACTCCCATACTGAGTAGGGGAACTTAGTCATGGCCAAAAATATTGGCACCCCTTCTAACATACCACTTCTCCCAGAAAATTGTTGCAATCCCAAATTCTTTGGAATTCTCATGTTTATTTCTTTTGTTTGCATTGGAACAACACAAAAAGCTGAGGAAGAAACCCAAATCTGATACCTTCCACACAGAACTCCAAAAAATCGACTGGACAGAATTATTGACACCCTCAACTTAATATTTGGTAGCACACCCTTTAGACAAAATAACTGAAATCAGTTGCTTCCTGTAACCATCAATGAGTTTCTTACACCTCTCTACTGGAAGTCTTACCAAATATCTACATGCTAACATCCTAGATGATGATGTAGTTGTCACTACAATTGTATATTTTGTCTATGCAGTCTTCTTAAATGCATTTAGTGGTTTGAAATTAAGAAGATGGTATAAATGGAAAGGTAGAACTTTGAGATTTCAAGTTTGTATGTGTGGGAATTGAATCTCAAATTTGTGTGTGTTTTCATGACATCAGATCAGTGTTAAACATTTAAATGACTTTACCTGTCCCTTGGTTTCTCTGTCCTGTCCAGGTCAAGCAGTATCATCGTCTGAAGGAGGAGGCCAGTAAACGTGCTGCTACACTGGCACAGGAGTTGGAGAAGTTTAATCGTGACCAGAAGGCTGACCAGGACCGCCTTGACTTGGAGGAGAGGAAGAAAGTGGAGACAGAGGTAAATACAATAATGATAGCAGGTTTTCCTGTGTCAAAAAATTTAATTTGCATTGATTTGAATGTATACCGACATATATTATGCAATTCCCTTCCAGGCCAAAATCAAGCAAAAGATCCGTGAAATTGAAGAAAATCAGAAACGTATTGAGAAATTAGAGGATTACATTGCCACCAGCAGGTATTCTACTCTTATTTTTGTGTTGTTTGATCAGTGAACAGCATATTGATTATTGAATAGGTTTCTCCATTTGATTTGCATCTTTGTTCTGTTGCTCCGCAGGCAGTCACTAGATGAGCAGAAGCGCATGGAAGAGGAGCTGACTGAAGAGGTGGAGATGGCCAAGAGGAGGATTGATGAGATCAACATGGAACTTAACCAGGTACGCAGTACATGCACAAGGAAAGAATGAAAAGGAGGTGCCTCCAAATGGTGTTAACTAAGCTGACTATCAATGCTTTCATTGGCAGTGGAAGAGCCAAAACCTTGAATTCCCTTGAAACCCTGAATTCCTTTGTAGCTAATCTGTGCCTTGGAAGTGATTTGATTGATTGATTTGATTTATTCTTTCAAGCATGTAAAGACAGTTGATATGTCAACACACATAATTTTACACATATCCAACAAATGCTAATCCAATATCAATTTGCTTATACCTAGTACATGCTTGAATGGAGTAGGAAGAAATCAGACTTATCCAGTCCTACCCCATGAATACAGCAGACAAGAAGGATCTAATGGTACTTACTGATCTCTGGTCAGGTTCAGGTGATGAGCCCTTCTCTGCAATTCTTCTCCTGTAAGACAGAGTCCAGAATTATTTCTGAAAAACAGTTGCTATTTTTAAAAACATATCATCATGTTTAATGTTAATATCATAAAGCACAGACCACACAATTCCTCCTGAACTCCACATTTTTAAAACCTAAATTCCTTAGATTTCTCTAGATCTTACAGTGATACTTCTCTGTCAGCAACAAAGTGCATTTAAATTACGATTTTACTACATATCATCTCATAATACTGAGGAATAGTGAGAGTGATGAGTACATGAACTTATTCTTCAGGTGGCACAACAAAATCCATTGCGACCAACATTGGGGTTTGCTAAATCTACTGTATGGCAACTGTGTCAAGTTTCACTTTTCTGTAGTATATGAAACAAGATCTGAAATTCATTCATATGACTCAAGTGCCTATTTTGAGACGTACTGAATCGAAGAGTAATATATGATGTGTCGCTACCTCCTTGCTAACAGGGCACTCATCTCCTCCATGAGCCCTCCTCCTCCAGGCAGAGGGCCGTTGCCTCTGGCTTCAGATTTGGCCCCTCCAGCCCCTGGCATGGCTGCTGCCAGAGCGGCCGCCGCCT